TGTCTAGATTTGCCATAGCTTTCCTCCCCAGGAACAAGCGTCTTTTAATTTCTTGGCTGCAGTCCCCATCTGCGGTGATCTTGGAGCCCAGGAAAATAAAATCTGTCACTACCTCCATTTCTTCCCCATCTATTTGCCAAGAAGTGAGAGGACTGGATGCCATGAACTTAGTTTTTTTAATGTTGAGTTTCAAGTCAACTTTTGCACTCTCTTCCTTCACCCGCATCAAGAGGCTCTTTAGTTCCTCTTTACTTTCTGTCATTAGAGTGGTATCATCTGCATATCTGAGGCTGTTGATATTTCTCCCAGCAATCTTAATTCCAACTGGCGATTCATCTAGCCCCGCCTTTCTCATGATGTGCTCTGCATATAAGTTAAATAGGCAAGGCAACAGTATACAGCCTTGCCAAAATCCTTCCTCAATGTTGAACCAATCAGTGGTTCAGTGTCCAGTTCTCACTGTTGCTTCTTGACCCGCATATAGGTTTCTCAAGAAACAAATAAGATGTCTGGTACTCCCATCTCTTTAAGAACTTGCCACAGTTTGTTGTGATCCCCACAATCAAAGGCTTTAGCATAGTCAATGAAGCAGAAGTAGATTTTTTCTGGAACTCCCTAGCTTTCTCCATGATTCAGCGTATGTTGGCAATTTGATCTCTAGTTCCTCTCCCTCTTCGAAATCCTGCCTGTACTTGTGGTAGTTCTTGGTCCACATACTGCTGGAGCCTAGGTTGTAGGATTTTGAGCATACCTTTGCTAGCATGTGAAATGAGAGCAATGGTGCGGTAGTTTGAACATTCTTTGGCATTACCCTTCTTTGGGATCGGAATGTAAACTGACCTTTTCCAATCCTGTGGCCACTGCTGAGTTTTTCAAATTTGCCGGCATATTGAGTGTAGCACTTTTACTACATCGTCTTTTAAGATTTTGAATAGCTGAGCTGGAATACTGTCACCTCCACTAGCTTTGTTGTTGCTCAGACTTCCTAAGGCCCATTTGACTTCACATTCCAGGATGTCTGGCTCGAGGTCAGTGACCACCCCATCGTGGTTATCAGGGATGTTAAGCTCTTTCTTGTATAGTTCTTCTGTGTAATCTTGCCACCTCTTCTTAAACTCTTCTGCCTCTGTTAGGTCCCTGCCATTTTGGTCCTTTATCATGCCCATCTTTGCATGAAACATTCCCTTCATATCTCCAATTTTCTTGAAGAGATCTCTGGTCCTCCCTATTCTATTCTTTTCTTCTATTTCTTTGCACTGTTCATTTAAGAAGGCATTCTTATCTCTTCTAGCTATTCTCTGGAATTCTGCATTCAGTTGGGTGTATCTTTCTCTTTCTCCCTTGCCTTTCACTTCCCTTCTTTCCTCAGCTATTTGTAAAGCTTCCTCAGACAGCCATTTTGCTTTCTTGCATTTCTTTTTCTTTGGGATGGTTTTAGTTGCTATCTCTTGTACAATGTTGCGAACCTCCATCCATAGTTCTTCAGGCACTCTGTCTATTAGATCTAATTCCTTAAATCTATTTGTCACCTCTACTGTATATTCATCAGGGATATGATTTAGGTCGTATCTGAGTGGCCTAATGCTTTTTCCTACTTCAATTTAAGCCTAAATTTTGCAACAAGAAGCTCATGATCTGAGCCACAGTCAGCTCCTGGTCTAGTTTTTACTGACTGTATAAAGCTTCTCCATCTTTGGCTGCAGAGCACACAGTCAGTCTGATATCTATGTTGACCGTTTGGTGATGTCCATGTGTAGAGTCATCTCTTGGGTTGTTGGAAAAGAGTGTTTGCTATGACCATCGTATTCTCTTGACAAAATTCTACCAGCCTGTGCCCTGCTTCATTTTGTATTCCAAGGCCAAACTTGCCTGTTATTCCAGTTATCTTTTGGATTCCTACTTTAGCATTCCAATCCCCCATGATGATAAGGACATCATTTTTTGGTGTTAATTCTAGAAGGTGTTGTAGGCCTTCATAGAACCGGTCAACTTCAGCCTCTTCAGCACCAGTGGTTGGGGCATAGACTTGGACTATTGTGATGTTGAATGGTTTGCCTTGGATTCGAACTGAGATCATTCTGTCATTTTGGAAATTGTATCCCAGTACTGCTTTTCCTACTCTTTTATTGACTATGAAGGCTACTCCATTTCTTCTGAGGGATTCTTGCCTGCAGTAGTATACCTGATGGTCATATGAATTAAATTCACCCATTCCTGTCCAGTTTAGTTCACTGATTCCTAAGATGTCGATGTTCAGTCTTGTCATCTCATTTGACCACATCCAGCTTGCCTTGATTCATGGATCTTACATTCCAGGTTCCTATGGAGTATAGATCTTTGCAGCATCGGACTCTCCTTTCACCACCAGATACATCTGCAACTGAGTGTCCTTTCGGCTTTGACCCAGTCGCTTCATTCTTTCTGGCGCTACTAGTACTAGCCCTCTGCTCTTCCGCAGTACCATATTGGACACCTTCCGACCTGAGGGGCTTATCTTCCAGCGTCATATCTTTTTGCCTTTTGGTACTGTTCATGGGGTTTTCATGGCAAAGATACTGGAGTGGGTTGCCATTTCCTTCTCCAGTGGATCATGTTTTGTCAGAGCTCTCTGCTATGACCTGTCTGTCTTGGGTGGCCCCGCATGGCATAGCTCATAGCTTCATTGAGCTACGCAAGCCCCTTCGCCACGACAAGGCAGTGATCCATGAAGGAGATGCCAACAGTAAAGAAATGGAAATAGCAAATTGTGCATATCTTGGCTGAATCATCAATTTAATTCTGTCTGCCATAGGGAATGCACCCTCCTAATTGAATCTGTGCACTTATTGCATTCTGCTGAGAGGCTCAGAGAAGTGCCAAGGCCCCATGTCCCAGCCGGGGGCCACTGACAATGAGTCTCTGCAGTTGCTGCTCCTCTTCACCTGCCTCTCACTTTGGCCCACACTGCAGTGGTGATGAGAAGCACTAGCAGCTACTGCCTGCCCTCTCGCTGTCTCTCTGCCTGCTAAGTAAGTAAGTAAGTGATGCTAATGATGTGCAAGGAAATGGGTAGCAAAAGGAACTGATCACAATGGTGATGAGAAGGCAGATTCCTAGAGGGAGAAGGCCCTTGAGGGTGTCTTACCCAAGGGCCTTCAAAAACCAGGAAGCAACACTGGCTCTGTACATGCCCTCTTTGAGCAAAGTTGTCTTGCTGTACAAGGGAAACAAAGCCTTTTCTCTGTTGGCTCCTGTTTTCCAAAAATCACAGTCCATAGAAATCCCATGGTCTGGGAATGGTACTATTTAGGAAAGAGGTGAACACTTTTGACTGAGCTCTTATGGCCAAGTTTATCTGTTGCAGTGCCTCAGCTACCTTTCATTTGGCATGCCTGTGCATGGTTGTTTTATCACATTGTATTGTGAATTGTCTTAAATCTATCGAAAGAAAGCAGGCTACAAACGTAATAATACCTATCATCATTGTCATCATCATCATCATCATCATCATCATCATCATCATCATCATTTCTACTTCCTGGGAAGCCTTCCTTCCTTCCTTCCTGGTAGAGCATTAAAACATATGATCCCCAGCTGCAATCTGGTGACACAGGGCCATCCCAAATCTCAAGATTATTTTATCACATTCTTTTGTATATGTAAACCACCCTTTAGAGGTGTGGACAACTGAATAAAAAGAGCTTTACCTGGTTATATTACTTCTACCTCTTCCTTTTCATCCCTCCATTTGCAGCTGTGGAAAAGAGCCACCGTGTTTCCTTGTTTACATATGTAGGTTCAGAAGAAGGAAGTGGTGAAGCTGACTAACGAGCTGACAGGTTTTCTGAGAAAGAAGAGCTCACCACCGGAAGCTGTTGCTGTCTTCAGTTTATTTGCAGCACAGTACTGAAGAAAGTCAAACTCTGGGAATTAAGTAGATTTACTACTGGTTGCTACTGGTTGTGAGTCCAGCAGCTGGGGCACTGGAAAGATTGGAACCCACAGTTTTATAACTGGCTACACAAGAAGAGACATGGATTCACGAAATACTCCCTATCGCTCGGAAGTGTCTCGCTGGTCCCCAGAGGACTTGGCTGACTACTTCAGGAGGGTAAGCTACATTTCAGTTCAAGTGTTCCAACTTAGTGTTGAAAAAGCCATTTATGTTTCATGTTTAACCTACTGTATTGTTCAATATCAAAACTTTAGAAGAGTCTTTGGGAAGCCATTTCTGTTAGCTGTTCCTTTGAATGTAGTACCAAATGTGTTAGAACAACCATGTTTGTCTGCCACAACGAGAGAGAGAGAGAATGAGAGAGAGACTTGTGCCACCTCTACCGCTAACACATTTATCATACATTTATCGCAGTATTTGTTTACAGGGGCTACCATCCTCACCGGAGGTAAACTTCATGCACTTGATAATATGGACAATATCCATGAAATCTTACGCCATGATAAACTTGTTACCTTTAAAGAAAACCCAAGGCTCTTTGCTGTTAGAAACTATTTTCCTAAGGACAGTCTCCTGCTTCAAATGAACCCCACTGCTCTGCTTCATTGGCTTGGTGTCCCAGCTTTGTGAATGAAAATGGAGCCATAAAATGGGCTTTCCCTCCATGTCCTTTCCCCTTGCCTGGTCTTCCCCGAAAGTATGCTAATGAGGTTCCCAGAATAGCCTGGCACATAGGGTGAGGGGAGGACAGAAGGATGGGGAAGTTCCTGAATTTCAGGAAAAGCCCTTGTATGCCAGAAGTTGTATGCTATACTTTGAGATCTGAGATACTCTCATCCCATCCCTGACCTGCCTATCAAATATTAATTTGAAAACTCTCTGGTAAAGGACAATGGTATTTCAGACCTTAGCACACTGCTGGAGCTAAATAAATGTTACAATACATAAGAATTCTGGTCAGTCACAGGTACCTTTGTAGAATACTTTAGGCAAAGTAGCTTGAGAGGCAGTGCCCCATCAATTCAAGACAAAGAACAAGACTGTACCAACATGTACTTTTCAGTTTGTCATTAAAAACTGATTCTATTTTAAGTGAGAGTGAGAAAGCTACTGCTCAGAGTGGCCTGTGAAGTCTACAGGAAAAGCAATCTGCATTTCTGTTTACAGGATGGCAACACTAAAATGCTGGAAACCTACGTTGCAAAATATTTGTGTCCCTATCATGCAAAAAAACAAAAAACAAAAAAACCCTCTTTAATTTTAGTCAACACATTCCAAAAATCATATCATTGTACTTTCCAAAGTGATCATGTTCAGAAAATTTCATGACTATATATGCACAGGTGCTGCAGTATCTGTTTTGTTATTGATATATGCTGTGAAAGACACCTCCAGTTGAGGCTGATTTTATGAATGAAAGCCCTCCATAATGCCTTGTTTTTCTCTGCCCTGTTCAACTCTTGTAAACACAAGACTGTGACTTCCCCTAAGGAGTTGATCCTTCTAATAACTGGTCATCCATTTCCTTCTTCTACCTTCAACATTCTGTAGCATGACTGTTTTCTCCAGGGAGTCTTGCTTTCTCATACTGTATCTGAAGTATAGCAGTTTCAATTTATACTCAGAAATCTGCTGTTGCTGCATTAGGCTGACAAGAGTCAGTTTCCACATTTTTGCTGCCACGGAAAGTTCTGATTTGATCTGATCTAGGATCCTCTTGTTTGCCTTTCTGTCAGTTCAGGGTATGCACAAAGCTCTTCTCCAGTGCCATGTTTCAAATGCATCAATTTTCTTCTTGTCCGCTTTCTTCACTGTCCAGTGAAGCATCCAAGCATATATACATACTGATGGGAAATACAATAAAGCAGATCATCTTGACCTTGATCTCCACTGAAATGTCCTTACACTTGATGCTATTATTGTTAGTTTAAGTCCGTTTAGCTGAACTCGGATGGGCAATTAAGCTCCTCTGAATGTTTTGGCTTTCAGGTTTCATCAGCTCTAGAGTTCATAGCTAATGAAGAAAGCTGAAGACCAAAAATTTGGGAGAGGAGTACAAGTTATCCACCCCTACATAGGAAAAAGAATAAGTGGCTGCAAGCAATCACTGCTTCTCATGCTCACACAGAGGACCCAATTGCTACAACAAAACAAGGAAAGGAAATGGTTGAAATTGTGCAATTACCCAATTCTCATCATTTTTAAAAAAAAAACAACGATAAATAATTACTCTGATTGCAAAATGGAAGCAATTAGTAACCAGGAAACATAAAATGGGCAATGAAAGGGATGTTTTAGTAATGATATGGCTGGGAAGGAAGTAATGAATTAAAGGGACAGTGGCATTAAAGACTCTCAATAGCACTGTGCCAGTTCACACTGAATAGGCTGGCACTGCAGCTGCACTTAAAAATAATAATGGGCGCAAATCAGACCTGAGAAAATAGATGGCAGTAGATTGCAACCAGCAGGTCACCCCAGCACCTAGATTCTGAGTAAAGCTGCATGAACTAAGGCACACTCCTATGCACCTTTGATGCCCATTTCAGACTAAGTGGTTACCATGGAAGTAAATCATTTCTCTTATAGTTTGGCTAATGTCATGATAGAAAAGTAGGAACACATTCTGGAACCCCAGTAGGAACAAGAAGAGGATGGGACTGAGGGGCTGTTTCTTTGCAAAGGGCCTCATAAGGAAGCTCACAGCATCAGGGGCTTCATGTTGAATTGTGTATAATTAGGCTGCAGCTCCTCTGGAGTGGGGAAGAATTGCTTAGGCTTAGCTGGCTTTAGAGTTATATGAGGGCTCAGAATGGGGGACACGAAAGCAAAGAACATGAACCTTCCCTTCTAGAGCTATTGAGGTACAGAAAGATGGACTTCAGCCTAAGAATACTCCTGAGGATTTGTAATCTCTACACAATGGGCAGAAACAGACTAGTGTGGTGATTGCCCTGAGCAAAGTGGTTTTGATTAGCAAGACAAACTATCCGCTGTACATCACTGCCACCTGATACCATCTGATATATACCAACAATACCCCTTCCTTGTTTCTACTGGGTGTACTCAGCACCGGGAGAATGTTCCCCTTCAAGATTTCCCAGGTCTCACAAGAGCCACAGGAATGAAATAAGAAGAGAGTTACTGCTGGGAAATGCTTTTGTTTCAGTGTTTGGTTACAGTTATTCCCCACCCCTCACCAAAAAGAAAAAAAAGTGCACGCAAGGAAGAGAACGCAATTCCACTTCTGTGCGGTTAATGGTGGGAACTTGGCATTCTTGCATATTCAGTGCTTCCCTAACATTTTCCCTCAACAGAACTGGGTTTCATTTTTTGTTTTTGCAAATGTCCTAATGTCTAATGGGACTTTTGCATCTTGCATAACACAGATTTCTCATTCCACCATTCCCATAACCAAATGGTGGCACACATAACTTGGCAAGCAAGTCTGGCCTCTGAAGGCTAAGGAGAGGGCTTTTGGCCTAGGCCAGGGCAGCGGGCTTTACAGCCATGGATTACACTAGGCCCAACTGCTTCGTTATTCAACACCGCCATTGTATTACATCTTAACAATACCAGCCCAAAACATTCTCTGCCTGAAGCAGAATGCATGAGCTGCATCCTCTTCCTGCTGAGGCCAACATGGTGAAACTTCATTTGGCTGCTTGGCCAAGCTGGCTCTGCTTCTTCGCATTTCAGGGCAGCCCATGGCATGGCTCCTTCCCATGAACAGACTTCACTGACAGGGAGGCATGAAGCCTCATGGCCCAGTAAGGCTTCTTTAGGCCCTGGTCTAATTCCAGCGGTGATGGAGGAAATATAGAAGGCTGCATTACATGGGACTTTGCGGGCCTGACAGATTCAGTTTGTCTTGTTCTGCCTTACAGTATCCCCAGACAATTTATCAAGGAGATAAGAAAATGAGTGTGAAAGTTCTGCAGTGGCACAAGCTACCCTTGCTGCCATTCAGTACATCTTAAACAAAATACACAAAACCAAGCTATTAAACCCTTTGAAAAAATCATGTGATGGGCAAAACCCCTCCTTTCTTAAATATATTTTAAAACGAAAACTGTATTTCTGTATATTTCCCTATAAACTCCCTTGCATTGACTTTGTAGAGCTTTTTTTCCACTAAGATTTTCTCGTGCACTTAAAAAGAAATAGAACATATATAAAAATCTTACAATGCCCTCACAGCATGCAACACAATTGTTTGTCTTCTATGCCATTCAGCCTTAGAAAATTTGAAACATGTCTAGTCTGGTTCTGAGTAGGCCTATAAACAGTGCTGCCAGTCATGTGACTGCCTTTGGTGAGACATACAAAAATAAGACACAGACCATGGCCCACTGAGTCCAGAGTTGTCTGCTCTGACAGGCAGCAGCTCTCCAAGATCTCATGCAGAAAAGGGTATTTCCTCTCACCTGTTAATAATTGGTTTCCTTTGTTGGAGATGCTGGAGAAGCTGACCCCAGGACCTTCTGCATGCGAAGTGGGTGGTCTGCCACTAAGCTATGTATGGTTCATACATGCAAAATCCCCATGTGCATAATCCCCTACAAACAGTCAGGCAGAAAAGCAACTTTGGGGTCATAAAATACTAATCCATAGCTGGAGGGGGGTGGGGCATCAGGAAGACGCTTCTGAGATTCTTATTCCAATGCATTCTAAGGGATGCAAGATGACTTTGTTTAGGGGTGGGGGCTTAGGCCAAGTAAAGGCAGCCTGACTTCACCTGCACGTATTTTTTAAGTAGACACACACCTACATAGCCCTGCTACAGCAGACTTAGGTTCCTGCACGATTCCTGCCCAACTATGTCTAAGGTTTGAATGTAAAGTACAGAACTATTTGAGGTTGCCATAAAAAATGTGTTTTCACAACTAAAATTAGATGCATAATTTTGGGTTACACCAGGCTTGAGTAGCAGCTCACTTCAAGCCAGTAATAAGCATTTCCTTTATGAAAGAACTCTCTCTCTCTCTGTGCACCCACACACACACACACCTTGCTTTAACTGCAAACAGTGCAACTTTTCTCCAGGCTAAAGCATGCTTTAGTTTCCACCAGTGTGGCACCAAAACTAGTCCCTGCATAGAGAACAATCCCTTCCCACCCTGGCTTATGAATTGCCATGCCTCTTGGCCATAACTCTGCTGGTCTTTATGAGTTCTTGCAAGAGGTTGCATGCCTATCACATTATGAATGGTGGACAGAATATCCCCAGTGGGGTTTGCTTGATGGAAGGGGGCTATTCCTGGTAGCATCTCTGCAGAGATCACCATAATGTGTGCTCCACCATTTGCAGGCTGCGTTGTCTAGAAGCAGAGAAGCAGCATGCCATCTATTCCTTGTGAAGGCAGGGGACTTCCAACAGGGATTTTCTTCACACCTTACACCCGCAGCCCAAGTGGAGGTGTGGGACTGCATCCGCCGCTTCTCAATCCAGGCTAACATCAATCACAAAGAGTGGGCTAGCAGCATTCGTGGAGGGCTGGTTTGGGTAAAGGCGGAGGCCCAGTGCCTTAAATCAGACTGAGGTTAGGCCCTCCCACTCTGTGGCAGGTTTAGTGACATGGTGATCTACATCTGGCACAAGAGGTTTTGCCGTTCTTGCCAGGTGGGCTTTGTAGCAACTAGGCCCCACCCATGATGGGTTATTTCATCAAAGTTGCAGTGACACAAGAACTCATTGTGAGTGAAACAACTCCTCCTACCAGCCATGGGTGGTCAGAGTGGTTTATAAGTCAAGCATAAGGCACCTTGACCATCCCACTACGTGTCTGCATGACACAACAACTCATCGGTTGTCCTGTTGTGCAAGCCCAGTTTGTGTCAAATTTGTTATTTTGGACAACATCAACTCAGCTGCAAGGGTCCTTGATATTTATTAACTTTATCCCTTTGAGGTTTCTAATCTGGCTTGGGGACTGAAACTGCTTAGGCTGCCCTGATAGATGATCTATGCCAAGAACTATACAAGAGATGAAATATATCTAAATTTTCACCTATGCATACAAATTAATTTATGCAGATTGTGGGCGAGTGTGTGACCTCTGTCCTTTTCCCTGGTGATGCATAAGTCCTAGGTCATGCCCAGGTTGGACTGTGCATTCCATAAGGCCTGACTTCAAAAAGGTTTTGGATCCTGTGAGTGGTACATAATGGTGTAGCCAAATTGTGTTTGGGGGTCTATGACAAAGATCAAGGGTGTCAACCTCTTTCAGATCCAATTCCACAGAAGAGAGAGTCTTGGAAGCCACATTCTAGAGGTGAGCAAGGCCAAAGGCAAAAGGGCCAGGACCAAAGTACAAAACATAGTGGCATGTTTTAGATTAATGGTCTTACAGTCAGCCTTAAGCAGTAAGAGGGGCATTTCAAGTCTCTAGAGTGGGGACAAAACTGCACAAATGCCAGGAAAGCATGAACATAGCATTGCTCTGGGAAAAGGCAGGGCCAGGAAAAGGGATGGAACATCTAGAGAACTCCAGAAGACCATATTTAGCCCCCTGACCTAAATGCCTGACTTAGATTTGAAAGTCCTTTGCTGTTTAGTCTCAGTTGCTCATGGTTCATTTCTTGTTCATGTCCCAGATGCTCTAATGACATTTTGGTTTAGGATTAGAATATTTGAAGGAACATGCCTCTGCCTGTCCATTGAAATAATCAAGAGAAGTTTGCCTTCTTGCCCTTCCATGGCATAGGTGTAAATGATAGCAATACTCTTTTGTGAATTTTGATTCCATATTTTCCCTGGGGTAGTCCATTTAGCCTACATTCTGATTACAACCTATTTTGCATTGACTGTCCTTTGCATTACAGCACAGTTTTTCAAGGTAGCTTAGAGATCAAGAACCTGCTGGAAGAATTCATTCAGTTTCTGAAGTGCAAACTGGGCCGGGGAGGGTCTTGCACCCGTCCAGCTTGAGGAATCCTGTAGGCAGCTGGTTTGCCACTGTGCATACAGAGTGCTGGACCAGAAGGACCTTTGGTCTTATCCAGCATTGCTTTTTAACGTTCTTAACTCCTGAAATGGTAGAAATGGAAAAACACTAGAAATTGTAGCTGGTATTCTTCTCATAATTATACATTATTCATGGCATATACTAAAATGTCATTCTTTGTGAGAAGGGAACTTAGTAGATGCTTGCTCTATCTTTTGTATATCTCAGCCAAACAAACCAATTTTCTCTGAAAGAGAGAGTAAGTTGCCATGTTCCATTTATGAATTTGTACTGCCTCAGAATACATTTTATCCTCAGAGAAGGCAAACATGTTCTACAAACTGCAAGACCAATGCTCCAGTTAGAGGCCAGTCATTTCAGACACAATAGATATCAAGACTTGCTTTATTTAAGCCTACAAAATCATGAGGCAGGCTCCCTTTAATCACACCAGTGATTAACTGTATCATTTAGGCTGTTTTTTAAAAAGCCATGTAAATAGGGCCAGACAGTAAGGAACAGATTTATTCTCTGAAGGTAGGATTCATTTGCATGGGGAGAAGGGAGATTTTTGATTGCTTTATACTTTGTAAACATCTGTATTTTGCAGGATTAAAACTTACTACATAAAGGATAATGTGAACAGGCAAAAAAGCCAATTCATTACTGGTCTTCTCTCATGGTACCTTGAGTTTGGCACCTTGATTTGCATAATCTCTGTTGCAAATAAACCAAGATTTTACTTTTTTTCTACCAGAGGATAAAAGCTTTGAAGAATTGTGTCTTGGTTCATTATAGAGCTCTGTTAATGCCAGCCTGGTTAAAATATCTAAGGCAAGTGATAATAGAATAGCCTCCAAAATAAAGTGCATGAGAATTTTGTCACAATTCCAAATGTGAACACACTTTGGTTAGAAAAAGTTTGCACATCTAGTTTTTCTGCACACTGTAGTCCTGTGATGTTTTAATGCACTTCTGCATATTCTGTCGGAAAAAAATGTACATTTACAAAAACCGAAACCTGTGCTTTGAAATGCATGTGTTTGTGTATTTGTTTTAACAATACATTTTCACACTTTAGACAATGAGAAGAAAATGCTCATTTTTCCCATTTGAAATGTATACTTTCCCCATTCAAATGAACTAGAAAATAGGTTGCAAATGAAAACAGAAGTAAGCCCAACTGAGCTTTGAAATGAAGTTGCACTAATACTGGTGAGCTCGAATGATTGTTGCTGGTTGCAATCCTGTACATGCTTCCAGGGAAGTAGGCCAATTAGTGAGTCTTGCTTGTGTTCATCCTAGAAATCAGTTATGAAAGTTCAGTTCAGAGCATTTTCAGACTATGAAATAGCATATGCTGCAACTTACGACAAAATGTTTCCTAAATGCTTCTCCATGTAACCAAATGGTGTCTCTTTTCTTCTGTAGTTAAACTTCAAGGATTGTGAGAAAGTTGTCAAGAAGCACGGCATAACTGGGCAAAGATTTCTGGTAGGTTTTCAATAAACTTCTCTTTTTAAAAGGTAACTATTTCTTTTGATCTCAAAGGGAAGCAAGATGAGGGAATGATGTGGAAAAGTGACTGTAGCTTGTTGTGGGGTCCTGTCATCAACCTGAACAGTCCTGCACTGGTCACGTTTAAGCAAGCAGCTAAGTTTGAAATAACCACTGTTACACGATTGCTTCAAAAATGGCTATTTACAAACCAAACCTGTTGTGCAGATACCATTATAAGACACAGTGCATTTCTCTTTCAGAACATGTCTGACAATGATCTTCAGAAGTTTCCAAAACTAAGTGTACCGTAAGTAAAACTGGTGTTATACTCATATTCTCAAACATGTATGTAGGTCAAGCTGTGATGGCAACTAGGAAGATCACATGGATAAGGGTCTTGGTGAATGAATTTTTCTGACCCAACGCATTGCGATGTGGGTTGTGGCAGGGCGCTGTTTAGTTTCTGCTTCAGGCAGCAACATGGCTTGGGTCTGCACTGCTTTTTCTGATGAAGAGTCATGAAAGAAATTGGGTTCGCTCCAGATAAAGTAGCACTTAGGCCCCAGTGGAATCAGTTACACTTAATTTATGGCTGAGTTTACACACAGATTTCTGTTGGACATAAGTGCAACTGACTTAGCCTGGATCCAACACATTTAAACAAAATATTTTATACTTCAATAAATGGGAAAGGAGAGACTTCTGAAATTGTGAGACATGGCTTCAATCTTTGTAAATGGGCCATGCAATCTAATGTGGCTGCCCATGCTCCTCCAAATTTGGAGGATTGTGGACATCCAATCAAGGATAGGAGGACTATGGAAGTTAAGGTCACTTCCATACTTTTCCTATTCCACAAAACACTTGGTCAGTTTTGGTCATCAAAGTATTTTGCCCTTGCCTGTGATGAGAAAAATCTGAGGCTTTACCAGGATATAGTGCATCTGAGCACAACCTCAATCATCCACTCCTTGGCTCCTGGAATGCCCTCTAGTGCTGGCTCCAAGTTGGTCTTCCAAGTTTGGAACTACAACCAGTACAGAAAGAACCATGTAGGTTGCAAGGACAGAGGGAGGGCCTCTTGAAGTTGCAGTTCCAGCTCTGAGCTCAGCACTGCATTTTTGCATTTCCTGCTTCACTGCAGTCTAACAACTTACAGGGCCAGCTTTTGGGGGCAACTCCCAAAGGCTACTGTGTCCCAGCAAGATCAAAGACCTCCATTTCCTTTCTCCTTCTCTGTTGGTGGGTGGGTTGGTTGGTTGGTTGGTTGGTTGGTTGGTTTTTCTATCAATGAGGTCAAGTGAAGTGACCTTTGGAAGAATGAAAATGGAAACAAGAATGTAGATTTTCTTTTGTAGAATAGTTGCAATAGTATTGATGTGAATGCCAGTCACATGAGCTGATTTGACTCTGATATTGGCCAAGATTTGCTTGGCACGTGGTTTCTCTCAAGTGAGACCAAAAATTGGTCAGATTTCCACCATATTCAAAGCAGGATGGAGTGGGTGTGAAGCTTTTGCTAACTTCCCTTCATTTTGTGGTTTCTGGGGTTGTTTTGTTAGCACTTTAACCTTTAAAGTTCATCCAGCCTCTGCTTACTATTTCTGAAGGTAGTAGCAGTCTTTACCTTGTAAGGGATTTAATACACATTAATAGGTCACTGTGATTTTGGAATGGCCTTCCAGAAAAGGTCATCACTGCATACTTTTGGAAAGTCTTGCAAAGCAAACTTGGTTCATCAGGCATGGTTGCTGTCCATCTTGTTTGTATTGTCCGTACCCCATTCAGGTCCTTCATCTACAGCCACATGGAGAAGCAGGCTACTAGCTTTTTCGGAGTTCTTATGACGCTAGTAACAAAAATTCCTTCTGCCAAGTAGGTTCTCAGCAAAGTGATGGAATGATCTCCTTCCTCCACAAGCCTATGACAATTCTGTGCTTGCTATGGAGGAAGGGGTTTCCTTTTGCCTGTGGCTAGCATGGAAACCAAGCAGGCTGGTGCATGAGGGATGGCACCATTCATTCTTCCTCTTCCGGCGTATCTACATGGAGATCTTTCTTTCTTCTCTGTGCTTAACAGACACATTGTTAAACATGAGGCGTGCTTAACTGTGTATTTTATCTATTTAGTTTGGAGGAAGGAGGGCAAGAAGGGTATGTGGCCAAGGGTGTCCTTAAACCTTTTGTAGGCTTCGTTCGCATTGATTCAGCTCGTGAGCAATCTCTTCATCTTTGAGGCCATTCAAGCAAAAAAATTTTTTGACATAATGAAAATTTCTCAAAAGCAGTTATTATCAGTCCACTAATTTGCACTATACTACAGTCATAAGTTTCAGTTTAAAATGTTGTACATAATAGTGAACTGGCTTTTCATATCTGCTCATCTGTATAGGCAGCTATCTTGGGTTTCTGCAAGGTAATATCTAGGAACAAAAACTGGTGTGACCCAAGGTTGACCAGTGACTCTTGAAACCTTGACTCTTTCATGGTTTTCTGCTTCTTTCAGCCACTTCTGAAAGAGTAGTCATCTGTCCTTTTTTTTTTTTTTCCAAAAGACTCTCCTGTATTTGAAGGCAATCTTTATTTATTTCAAGTGCTCTCCAGTCCAAGTCTGACTGGAGATAAAGAACCATTAATAGTTAGTCTCTGGACAGCAGTCTGAACAGGTCAGCTGGTCACAGTGATGCGCTCTATGATGAGATGAACTGCATTTCTATTTAAATTATAATACTACTTCCTAAATCAGTATCTATAGCTATAAAATGGGGATATGCAAACTTTATGCAAATCAGCATGTTTCTTTATCCTCCTTTTTGAAGATTCATAAGTGACCACTGTTGCTGACAGAAACCAGGGGTGATATTACACAGAATCATGGATTCTATGGCAGGTGGCCTTGCAGGGTATCTAGTCCAAATCCAGAGCTAGAGCTTCCTCAAAAGAGAGCTTATAACACTTCCTGGAAGACATCCAGTGACAAAGAGCCCCTTCACTGGTTAATTGGTTAATTGGAATGTGTGAAAGTGTTACAGATTTGCCTTCACATCCTAGCTTGTTCTCAAACCATAGTTTAAACCAACCTGGGTTCTCATGGAGCACCCAAAAGCAAAAGATTTCACTTTCCTCCTCTGGTTCAAGAACAAGATTTGGCAAACATCAGACAAGGAAGAGAACAAGCCTGACTTGCACCACCTCTTCACATGGAAAAGTGGGCAAGCCTGACTGAAGCTTATGGTTTTTGTGGCATGAAAGTGTGGTTTCCTCTTGGATGTAAATGGATCCATAGCTCCAGTCTGGACTTGTTAGTGGTGGTTATCATTATATGCACGTTTCAGGCTCATGTACTTCCCTTCACTTTCCAGCATAGCCATAAGGAGGAGATCAGAAGCTTTTGCTTGTGATTATATCCACACACATTGCATCTGAATGCTAAACTGTTATTAATTTTAATTTCTCTTAGGTGAAACAAACCACCTTCATATGTGTTTGAAGTTGATTTGTTTCAATAGTTAAAACTAGCCACAGTTTGTCCAGTTTGGACATTTATTTATTTAGTACATTTCTTGTCCACCTGATAATGAATATTCTTCAAACAGATCATAGCCAGTTACTTTAAATTGCAAGTCATCTGAAGTAGAAGGAAAGCTTGTAAATTCCTGCTGGCTGCACTAGAGGAGGAAGTATGCAAGCTTGAAGCTCACACAGACCTATTATCTTAACAATAAACATAGAAACAGAGCGAGTCAGAAGGGGTCTCCCGGGCCATCTAGTCTGACCCCCAGTTCCAGCCAGCTTCGCTCATGACATGTCTACCATGTGCATGTCTAGCCTATCCTTGAACATCCTCACTGATGGGGCCACAACCATGGAAGCCCATTCCATACCCAGGTAAAAAATTAATGCAGTTTATGGTTTATAACATTGTTTATTGTTAAGTCTAAAGGAGGCTATTTAATAGTTTTAGCATGGTTTTCTGATCTAGTAAAAGAGTTTGACCATCACATTAAGAAAATCTGAGACATATTATTTTGCATGACATTTCTCTTCATTTTGAACATCTTCAGGAACTGAAATGTCCTAATTTCTAAAATCTGTATTAAAGAGATTTCAAATGTATAACAAAGAAGCCCTTTCACCAACATTTTCTACAAAAACTGATGCAATTTATTCTTAGAATTAGCTAGGAACACTAATGTTAAGACCATACATTTAGCCCGGCCAGATCAGATAAAGGTCTATCTAAAACTGGTTCCTGTGATGGCAGCCAGATGGCTTTGTGAACTTATGAGCAGGGCACGAATACACAAACCCTCTCCTATTGTTACTTCCCAACATACTGCTCCTGGACCTCAGAAGCTCATACAGCCATCTTTATTTATTTATTTATTTATTAAAAAATTTCTATGCCGCCCCTTGCCAAAGCCTCGGGGCGGCTTACAACACAATAAAATACAATAAAATACAAAAATAACAATATAAAATAAATAACAATATAAAATTACTAACATCCAGTACTAACATCCATTGACAGATCTCTCCTCCTGGGACTTGTAGGGCCCTGTTATAGTTGCCTAAACTAGTGGTCATAACTATATTTTCTGTTACCAAATCCTATAAATGGTTCTGTGTTATATAAAGGACAACTTATTTTTGCCTTTGCTTCAACTATAGCCATTCAGTCTCATGAGGTGATTTCTAATATTGGGGAAGGGGGTAGGTTTGTCATTCCATTACACCATTTTTAAAATTGACATTTCATTGTCTGCTTCCCAGTTCTTTTGGAGGAAGGCTGATTTTAGGGACAATATTCTGTTAGAAGATTTAAGAACTGTGATGTGGATGCTCATAGAATTGTTTAAATTTTAATCTTAGAACTTCAGTGTGCATCATCTTTATTTAACACAGTTCCTGAGACACAGTTTCTTGCAAGAGAAACAAGCCAACCCTGCTTGGTCAATTTATGTCCAAGATCTGTTTCAGAGTGGATAAATGCAAAATATTCATTTGGTTTCTCTGCAGTCTCATTTTACAATTTTAGATCGCTTTTCTTGTCTAGTGGTCCCACACTCCAGCCCCCTCTCTAGCCAGTTTCCTACCATGGACTTTTAAATAATTGTTTTCTGGTTCTTCTTTATGGTTTTAACAATATACTCCTCAAATTCTTTCTTGGCTAGCCTTTCTATCAACTTATGTTTATTTTATTAGGTTTGGTTCTCTTTATCCAGGCAAGTCTTCCCAAAAGCACCTTTTTCCTTGTATCGCTCCTGTTTGCTAAGATGCTGGACTTTCCTAGTCTGAGATATAAATT